ATTAAACAGATAAAGTAACTTTTAGAAATTCAATATACTGTTTAAAACTATTTTGTTTCATTTTTATGTATTTAGAACATTTCTTAGAGAATTTCTTCATCATATAGAACCTTAGCTAAAAACACACCAAGAAATGGAACCCTGATTATTATTTTGAGTGATGAATTGGAGATTATAATAATTTTTTTGCATGTAACCAATTCAACAGAGATCAAGGATACAACATCTTTGTTTTGTTTTTCTTTTTGAGCATTAGAAAATTAACTTTTGCTTTCATGAAATATCTAATGGCAAGATAGTAAAGATGCGATTCACTGGTTAACTTTTCACTGAAATTTCTATGATCATGATAGTCAATCGAAAACGTTAAGTAGTTTTAAAACAATACTTAAACATAATGTTAAACTTAACAATGAAAATGTTATTATTCGTTGTGCCTTCCCCCTGAAAAAAAAGAGCATATAAGTACGTCTCAGCATATAAATTTATTTTACATAATATAAAATAACAAATACCACCTTGTTGTTGTGCTGAAAATAAAAACACTCAACTGTTTAAATGCACTAGTTCTTAAATTTTTTAGAATTTCATTAAAGAGAAGTAGAGTTAGAAAAGTGGATTTAAAACAAAGACGGCTTCTTTACTTACTCGTATAAAAAAGTAGACCATAAAAAATATATTTAGCGCTAAGTCTATCTGTTGGGTTGTGTTGGCTGACCACTGCTGGCATTTCTCTACTCCCTCACTGAAAGAAAACATTAATTAATTTATGGTTTCTTTCATAATGTTAGTTTTAAAACTTTTCTAGACAAGAAATGTCCCCTCTTAGAGATATCTTTACAAATACACACTATATATATAATACCTTGAAAGCATAATTAGAATTATACATGATATAGTATCTTAGTGATCTCATTAAAAGTACAATCACTGTAGTGTCTTAGAAGTATAATTAAAAATAAACAAAGTGGAGAATTTCTAAGTTACAGTTTCACGAATATATATATCGTGGAATTAAATAACTCCAGTATTCGAAGTAATACACAGTAATACATCAAACTGTCAAAACACGAGAAAACAATGCCTAATGAAATATATGCTTAATGTTGTATGGAAAACAAAATAAAACCGAAATGCTTAACTAATAATGACTCTTAGAAGATTTCCTAAATCAGCTGTCATACTTAAATAAATGTTTCTAACATATATGAAATATATTATATGTAGCCATGTTTTTCTTCTTTTTTTCGGTTAAGAAATGTTTCCGCATTAATAGGAGCGTATGAAATATCCTTTTAAGCACATCCAAAATCCATTACCTTTAGATACAAATAAACACACTCATACTATATAAATATCTTATTAGAACAATGAAAATTCCCTTGTAGAGCAGTGTGTTTGAAATAAATAGGTTTTAGTTCAAAGATTACGAAAACGCAAAACGCTCTGTTTATATATAATCATTATATTAAAATGGTTATTTGTGAACATAAAAAGTAATATTGAGACGAAAATTTGGAAAGTGGTCTTTCGTAAAAATGGTTTTCAGATTGGAGCACTGAGCTAATTCAGATCAAACTCAGTGTATCTAACAGTGCTGGGAAAAATACAGCGAAGTATTTTTTTTCTGAAAAATTTTAACCATGTGAAAAAAAAAACCAAATTTTTTGTTATAGATGATATCTCATTCAAAAAATGTACAGTTTATGTTAAATTTAATTAGGGTTATGAGTTAAAGGTTTTAAGTTACTTAAATTATTATATCCCTTCTGCCATGTCTATAATAAAAAGTGTTTGCTTCCTATATTCCTGAGTATGGGCCAAAAATAAAAAAATTGCGAATTAGAAGGGTTTTTTCCGGAAACATAGAGAAGGCCAAATTTCATTGATTGTTAATTGTAGTCATGGGGACATAAATCTCAAAATACATTATCAGTAAATGAGTCATTGATGTTTCCTGTTGATATCACATACATAGGTTAAAAATAAACTAGTATTTTATTTGAACGGTGATTATAACTACGTTACTTTTTTGTACTGATCTTTACGTTATGACTAATGTTTGTTATGTCCCACGAGCGTTCAGTTAGGAATAGGAAAATTAACATTGTTTAGAATCTTAAGGTTTGGAAATTTTCGACGTTCAGATCAGGGATATTAAGCAATAAACAGTTATTTGTGACATCTTTGTAATCTATTCGTATGTGTGTTTTTTTCTAGCAAAGCCACATCGGGTTATCTACTATTTTAGTATTGTAAGTCCGAAGACCTGTCACACCGAGGGACTAATCTATTCGTAGCGGATAACGTGAGAGTAAAATAAAAAGATTAAGTTAAATTCAAAGCTTATTTCATTAAATCGTAAACGTCACCCATTAAAAGTAACGAGTTAACTCTACTTTTGGAAATCGATGTTTGTTTCTCATCTTTTCATTTTCTCACATGTGTTGACATTTAGATTGGCAACATATATACACGATTTGTCAGTTTGTGAGAAATTGGCAGACTTCATAAGCCAATCTTTCAGTATAGAAAAATGTAACAAAACGTACTATTTGTAAGATTTGTAAGTATTAAATGATTTTGATTGTTGGATTGATTTAAGATTATCTCCTGTTCTTAAAAAATGAGTTTAAAAAAGAAATGTGATTGAATGTTTTGTTTAATATGTTATTGTCCTTTTATAAATAATTTTAACACAATGATCTCCTAAGACTTTTTAATTACAAGAGGTTTAAAATTTCGTGTTTGGTAAGAACCGTAATAAACAGTTTTTACTCAGAACTACGCTTAAGTTGTGACTGAAAAGTTGAAGACTATTAACACTGAAAAGGAGCCCGAGTACAAAACAGGCAGCTAAAGAAGATAAATATTTTACCATCTATTATATTAGAATTTTTTTTAATTTTAATTTGAAGGGCGGTATATGAAATTGTTGTTTACATTGATGAAATAATTAGGTCTGGCTTAGCCGTGGTAATTAACTAAGGTGATATCAATCGAAAGAATAAGTCAATTTAGTAATAGTCATTGGGGTTAGCCTGATGTTAATCCGCAAGACCTGTCATTCAAGTAACTGATGATATGAATAGCATCTTTATTATTACTACGTTGTATTCCAACGGGCTTGATGGATATAGAAGATATAATGTGGTTGACATATTAATATATTTACAATCTTCTTTTACTTTCACTGATAAGTTATTTGAGTAAGAAAAATATAAAGTTTGTTATTAAATGTAAAATAAAGACTTCAACTTTATCGTTTTTAGTCTTTCGTCGTCAAATTAAAATCTAAGTTTAGATTTATAAGGATTTTTTTTTGTTCTGTTTTCGGGTTTCCATGGAGAACCTCTACATAATTTCAAACAAATAATCTATTTCTTTATAAATTGGATAAACTTTGCAAACTTGGTAAAAAAAATGCGCTGAAATATTCTATCAATGATGTGCTTGAGATTTTCAAATGTTATATAATGAAAATAATTATGTTACAAATTAATGTAATCGACTTATTACAGTATACTCGCAGTAATTTGTAGGCTAATTTGAAAACTTACCAACTATGAAAATAAACTTCGTTTTATTGGTGTTTATTCTAAACGTTTATGACACTTGTGTATATTGATATAATTTTACTCATGTTATTATATTTTCGATCTCAAATAATTGGTGACTTTTTAGTTTAGCGTCTTTGGTGGTCAAACTGGAAAAAAAGGTTAAATACATAGGGGTATAAGTAGTCTGAATGTTTAAAATGTAAGCTTTAAACTTCAGAAACTGCACGTGTATACTCCACGCTAGCTTAGAAGCATTTTACAGATCAATCAAATCATTATGTTACTACATTCCTTTGGGAAATGATTAACATACAACCAGGAAGTAATGCTGCACAAGGCAGTCCACAAGAGGCCCTGAAGTGAAAAGTCGTGAATTGATAATAAGCTTTCAATATATATATATATATATTTAACTGAATAGTAGAAATAATTAAAAACGTTAAACTCAGAACACGTATTAAGATAAATGTGTCTCGAACTTGAAGCAAACGTGTTTTGTTCTGTGATCCGAAGTTAAAATAGATTATAAAAATACAATTACAGTGCATTAGTAAATTGATCGTTAACGGTTTATAAGTATAATTAAAACTATACTTTATGTAGAAAACATAATGCATATTTCAACAGAAAATTGGCCTGTGTTCTTTGAAATTTATAGTACGTTTTCTATATAAAATTGTGTTTATAAATCGGTGTTGGTCAATTTAGTATTGTATTACCGCAACGCGCTTTCAGACACAAGTAACTACAGTATATGTTTGCTTTTCAGACTAAATTAATAAACTAATATTTAGACATGTGTTTTGTAATTTACTATAATGACATTGACCAAATTGCTGATTAACTCAAAACTGAGCAGTTTCTAATGTATATCTATCTTAAGTTTTGTGGTTTTTGAAGGCTTTTAGATGTTTTTTGTTATTGTTTGTTTGTTTGTTTTGAATTTCGCGCAAAGCTACACGAGGGCTATCTGCGCTAGCCGTCCCTAATTTGGTAGTGTAAGACTAGAGGGAGGGCAGCTAGTCATCACCACCCACCGCC